TTAGTGATCTACCATTTGCGCCTTGGTGAGGTGGGCGGTGCGGGGGACAAAGGAACTTAGAGGGGTTGAAGGGATGGAGCACTTTAGGAGTAGGATGAGGGGGGGTCTCAGGAAGTAGTCTGCAAGTAGCTTCAGAAAAAACTTATCCCGACTAAGGTTCCAGATGTACCCAGCTACCCTCTATGACACCCTAGGCGCCCATTATAAATTCGGGGACCCAAAGGCCCTATATTCGTACCGAGTACAATGCAACATGCTCGAAGGCTCCATGTGCCCGCGGAGTAGATAAGGAATCTACCATAATTGCCATAGTATAGGGTCCTTAAGGTAATGCAGGCCCTTATATACCCCTTATATAGAATCATGAAGCCCCTATATAACCCCAAGGGTCCCTTTAAGGGCCCCTCCTTTAGTCCCTAGACTTGGGGCAGGAGCTCTTGGCAGCGCTCAGCTTAGACATCTCAGCCGAAACCTCTCATCCCTACAATCCGAACAGAAAAGGTCGACGCTCAAGGCGTGTGGGGCTTAAAGGGTTTAGGGTTTAGGGTTTAATATAGAGGCCTTGATAAATAGAATAAGGTTTTTGGTGTATATTATGCTATCATTTTGATAAAGAGCCCTATTAAGGCCCCTACATTAGGGTTTAGGGCTTCGAGGTTCAGGGTTTGGGGTTTTACGGGTTTAGAGCCTGGGGTCTAGGACAAGGATTTTGACTCCACGCCCTAAGCTCCCTTTCTACAGTGCTTCAGTGACACACTACACACTCATACCATTAATCCCAACCTAAACCCTATAAGCCCTACATTTTGCAACAAGCCCTGAAGCCGAACATGTGAACATTGCGTAGTCTTCGAGGCAAGATTATTCCGTTACAATCCCGAGATAGCCATGCTTATGTTCAAGGCCCCTACACACTAAGGCTCCATGTACCCATATAGTAGATACTTAAGCCTTAAAGTACCAATGTAGGGACCCCTTTAAGGCCTAAGTATCTACTATAAAGGTACATGGAGCCTTTGGGACACTTAAGTCCGAAAAGAGCGTATACTTTAGCTATACCAACACCCTAAGCTTCGAAAAGCCTTAAGAACCCGTATAAAGCCCTGTACACCGCTATACACCCCTATACTTTATGCACCCTATAAACCACCCTAAACCCTAAACCCTAAACCCTGTAAAGCCTATAACGGCCGAAGTGGCGGAGGCAACGGAGGCCTACAACTTGATCAAGGACTTGGAGCCCTCGATGCCACGAGAGCGGCTGGGGCCGACATCATATTTAGGGGTTTATAATGTAAACCATCTATTATATCAGGTGTTCCAGTGATTCAAGTTTAGGGTTTCAAGTTTCGAGTTCAGCGCTTTCGGGGCTCCATCTCATGAGGGCTTGAGAGGTTCAGGTTATGGGCTTTAGGGTTTAGGTCTTATAGGTTTAGGGTTTTAGGGCTTAGGGTTTACAGCTTGACGTTTAAGGCCAGGAAATCCTAAGCCTAAAGCGCAACCCCTACCGTAACCCTGACTGCCCTCCCCGGACAGCCCACCACCCCTTAATTAAGGACCCCTATTGCTGATTCTTTAATGATTTTCCGTTACATATAAAAATATATACAAAAGACTCCAAGGATTGTTCAAACAAACTATAGTTCTAAGTTTGGGTTCTATGGGCGTCTAAGTAACTTAGGGTACTTAGGGTGGGAATCGGGCTCTCCGGGTGTGCCTGGGTTACCCGAAAGATCCTCATGGCCCGACCGAAAGCCTCGACAGTTTAGGGTTTGGGGCTTAGGGTTTAGAGTTGTGGCTTTAGGGTTTAGGGTTTTAGGGTTTGGAGTTTAGCGTTTAGAGTTGTGGCTGTAGGGTTTACAGGTTTAGGGTCTAGAGTTGTGGCTTAAGGGTTTACTTTAGGGTGCCGGGGGGGGCTTAGCCGCATCCTGCCGGGGCTCTCGACTCCCGGATGGGGTTTTAGTCCAGGTACCTTGAAGGGTACCTGGAAGGATTTCTTCTCAGGTTTCCTTTAAGGGTTCATTAAGGCTTCCTTCAACAATGTTAAGCTTTCCTTTAAGGGTTCTTTAAGGCTTCCTTCAAGGGGTGCTAAGGTTTCCTGCAAGGGTTCGATAAGGCTCCCTATAAGAATGTTAAGGCTTCCTTTAAGGGCTCTTTCAGGGGTGCTAAAGTTTCCTTTAAGGCTTCCTTCCAGAGTTATGCAAGTTTCCTTAGAAGGGTTTACGGCTTGATGTAAGGCTACGGCTTTCCCGTCTGACTTTAACCTGGCCCGTTCTGGGGAAAGCGGAGTGGGAGGACCTTTGCAGCTCAAATCCTTGAACCACGGAATGAAGAGCCCTGATAAGTAATCTTGGGCCCTTAATGATTACCTATACTATTTTGGGGGTTCCTTATTGTCAGTATACGTAAATGGGCACATTGTTTGTTTTTCGTTGTTGCTTTCTGTTGTGACGCGAAGCCCTTGAAGTGACTCCCAACTGCCAGGGTTTTGAGTCTTAATGAGTGTCCCAAATAAAGAACTTGTAGATTATGATCCCTAAACCCAAGCACCTAATGGTTAGGTCCCTTGCAACCCCTGAATGCCGCTTAACCCTGCTAACCCCTAAACCCTTAACCCAAACCCCTAAGCCCCCTGAATTCCTAAACCCAAGACCCCAAAACCCTAAACCTCCCAAATACGTCCAAACCCCTACAGCTTAAGTCCGTAGATCCTAAAACCCTAAACCCTAAACCCTAAACCCTAAGTCTGTTGCCGCTGCATAGGTACATCCTCAAGGGTGTCGTCTTTGCCGCTCTCGGCCAGGCATGGGGGGAAGTCCCAGGGTTTAGGGTTTAGGGTTTAGGGTTTAGGGTGCTTCGGGCTTCTTTTTGCAGATTTCGGGTTTAGCTAAGCTTTTGGGGTTTAGGGTTCAGGGATCGAGGGTTTGGGGGCTTAGGCTTAGGTCCTTAATACAGGCAAAAGATGTTATTCCTTAGGGTTCAGGGCTCCTTCTCAGAAGTTTAGTATCCCCTAAAACCTTAAACCCAAAACCCTATATCCTAAACCCTAAACCCTAAATCCCTAACCCCAAAACCCGACTCGAGTCATGCAGGCCCCTGAATTGGTTTTGGGTGCTAGTTCACAGCTCAGGTGGGGCCTTGCGCCTTGTTGTATTACAGTAAAATAATTAACTAAATGACGAATATACATACATACATACATACATACATACATACATACATACATACATACATACATACATACATACATACATATATATATAATATATATACATGCATACACACATACACATGTATGTGCATAGTATGTATATATATATATATTATGGACTTTATTTTGGGGATCATGGGGCTTAGTAAGTGAGGATGTGAGTTCCTAGTTCGGGCTTTAAGCAGTCGCAAGTTTAGTTACCTCATGCTACTTAATCCACAAGTTACAAGCCTAGCCACCAGCCCACATCAGGCAGAGGGTGTAACGGTTGATGATATACATCCTGCATTACCCATAACAAGGAATAGACCATAATTCCCACAGTATAGGGTCCTTAAGGTAGTGCAGGATTTAGATCATCAACCGACGGTCTCAGGGCATAGGGCCGTAGGGTGTAGGGGTTTAAGGAGTTATGAGTGCTGGCATTCACCAAGTCCATTGCTTCAATAAAATGGGGTTAAGGGGGTTTAGAGTGTAAGGGTCCAGGGTTTAGGGGTTTAGAGTTCAAGGGTCTAGGGTCTAGGGTTTTTAAGCCCACCCTGAACCCCAAACCCTAAACCTCAACCCTAAACCCTAAACCCTAAACCCTCCAACTCTTTCGGGTTTAGGGTTTACACCCTAACTTATTGGCGGTAAACTCAACTTTTCAACTTTGGGGGTTCTTATAAGGTAGTCGATTCTGAAAGTTTCAACTCTTATTTCCTTGGGTTTTAGGCCAGTGAGCTGAACCCTAGGGTTTAGGGCTTAGGGTTTAGTTTAGGGTAGGGTATACAAGGGTCTATGAGGATTCGTCCAAGGGGCTTAGACAGGGCTTTGATATGGGAGTTTCCGAAAATAAGGGGTACCAGATTTTGGGGTCCTTATAATAAGGATCCTATTATTTAGGGTACTATATTAGGGTCCCCTTTTTTCGGAAACCCCCATATAGCTACTCCATACGCTCTGGAACTTTAGGATTTGGCCTAGCAGGGCCCAGCATCCAAAAACCCCACAGGCTCTAAGACCCTAGCCTTAACCACAGCATCTAGGGTTTCGCGTTTAGGGTTCGAGAGGAGATACAGGAGTCAAGTTTGTGGGGTTAGGGTTTGGGTAGGCCATGTCGCCCCTAAACCCTAAACCCTGAATCCTGAACCCTAAACCCTAAACCAAACCCGAAAGGTGACGAACTCGCAGGAGCATCTGAAGCTGGCACAGCTCGGGACCTGGCTTTTGGGGACCGTGGAAGTAGGGTTTAGGGGTTTAGGGTTCAGGGTTGGTTTAGGGCCTCGACGATCAACGGTTCTCTTAATTCGGGGTAAGGCAATACGGGTAATATGGATATAGCGTTTGGTAGCTATGGGCTCGTTTACGCACCACTGAATTATAATCCCACACTGTTGCGGTGCTTATCACTCTATAGGCAAATTGTCTAGCTGTCGAGGTTCCTACAGGTGTCGAGCTTAAGTGCTAAAGGTTTTTGCTGTTTAAGGTGTATGGCTTCAGGTGCTTCAGAACTGTGTCTTTCGAAAAGCTCACATCATAGTTTTTCTGTATCCGTAAGCCCTAATAAACTGGACGCCCTGTCTCCTTCTCATCTGTTGGGCAGGGTTTACGGTTTACGTCCCTGTTCCCTAGGGCTCCATGATATATACTTAGGCTTCAATTGGTCTGTATAGGAGCCCCTTTTAATTAAGGCCTAATGGAGGCTGACTTAGAGGTCGTCCTGATTTCCGCATCGGCAGCCTGCGATCGAGCCGGCCCTTTGACCGAAGTCTTAAGGCCTTGCCCAATATGGAAAGGCTTTTGCGCCATGTGGAGCTTGGTCGCCTGGTGCATGCTGGGGCGAGTTCTGAGCCAAAGTGCCCAAAACTCTCCTGACACGAGTTGCATGTTGCAATTCTCGGCAGCACATCAGATCGAATCCTCAGAGCCGGACTGCCTTTCCAGCGCTGACTGGATCGAGCAGTTACAAGTGACGGCGCTGAACTTCTCGGGCGGCATTTCGGGAGCAGAGGTGTTTACAGGCGCCGAAGATGACGTCAACCTTATGGCGTGGTCGCCTTCTGCCGGACCGGCCCCCGGTGATGTCCTAGTTTTCAACAGCAGCGTGTGCTCGGACTTTGCAAGATGGCAGTTGCAGGCGAATCTGACGGAACTAGCAAGTCAGAACGTGACCTTGCCCTTTGATTGGGCAAAAAGAGTAGCCCTGAGCAGCGAGAAGATCGTCGTGGCCTTGAGCCTCGTGAATGATACGAGCACCACGCATACCTTCAAGTACGACGGGGCGTCATGGGTTTTCTTGGGAACACAATCTTTTCCGGGGATTCGCAGTATAACCATGGCTCTTGGAGGAGACTTATTGATCCTCCTGAATGTCCAGACTTTCCAGACTTTCCAGTTGCAAGGATCCGTTTGGTCACTTGTGCCCACCGCGGAGCTTCAGCTTGATGCACTCAGATTCGCGACCGACGGTAGGACTCTGACCTTGGAAGAAACATAGTAGCTGAATGGATACAATTTCCACGTTTTGAGATAGGGTTACCCACTATGAAACTGAAAGCGTACACCTTGTTGTGCTTATGAAATCAGCAACTAAGGAAAGGAACCCTGTTGTCCAACTTGTCGTCTACCAGTGGGCCGGAAACTCCTGGTCGAATGTGGCAAACATCTCCGCCCCAGTCCTTCCACCGGTAGGTGGTATCGGCCTGGACGTGGACGGAGACTAGGGCATTGTTTGTGTCATGTAGGGCCTACTTAAAGAGGTTTAGGGATCCTACACGCTTACAAAGCCATGTGGGAGTTTCCGAAAAAAAGGGATACCTTATTTTGGGGTCCTTACAATAAGGGTCCTATTATTTCGGGTAATAAATTGGGGGTCCCCTATTCTCGGAAACCCCCATGTACAGTTTTTTAGCCTCTATAGCCCACTTATGCGCAGCCTGCAGAGGAGTTACTAAACCCTAAACCCTAAACACCCCCTTCAAACCTTCAGCCCTAACCAGGAGACTATATCATCGCCGGCTGGGTCTTCTTTACAGACGCGGGCGTTCAGTATGTGACGGTGATCTACGAAGAGCAGGGAGGTCAATGGCCGGAGGTCTTCCGGATCAGCGACGACTTGGAACCCTGACACTTAATTCTGTTTCTGTTCCTACTGCGCTGGTTTCTGTTTTCAAAGCTTGTGGTCTTCAAGGAATTGGGAATACTCAAGAAACCTGAGCTGGTTTGCCTAGCTGTTTGGACTGTGGTTATGTGGGTTTGGATACTGTGTATGATATGCCAGCCAAGGTGCAACCGCCAACTATATTTGGAATCTCATCCTCCGGCAAGGCCGTCGTGAATTGCGCTGGTGCTGTGGGCTGCGCTGGGGTCACCACCTTCGAGGCTTCTAAGCCCTAAACCATCCGCAAAGCCCTAGAGCCCTACACACAGGAATGAGACCCTACAGCCCTAAACCCTACTACAAACCCTAAAATCCCAAAACCAACCCTACTACAAACCCTAAAGCCCCAAAACCTTTTACCCTTGAAAAGACCTTTAAAGCTCTAACACCCAAAAAGCCCAGAAAAGACCATCCTGCAGGTGACTTCCAACGGATCATGGGCCGAGGTTCAGTCCTTCAACGATTCGAGCTCGGATCCCAATGACGCTAGTCCTGCGAGCGCAGCGATACTGGGCTTTTTTCTTAGCATGTGCCCATGTAATATAGTATGCATTAGTATAGGGTTTAGGGTTTAGGGTTTCCTGTAAGGCTATATGTACCCATATAGTCTATACTTACTTAGGCCTTAAAGGGGTTTCTTTACATGTACTTTGAGGGCTACGTCTACATTATATAAGACTGTATAGGTACGTATCTAGATAGTTGGGTAGGGAGACAGATGGACACGTAGATAGGTGGATTGATAGGCGTCCACAAGAAGACTCCAGGATATCGGCGACTTCGCTTGTCCTGGCAGAGTTGATACCAGTCATACCCTTCACCGAGTACCGGAGTGCCGGAAGGATCTCTGGCTAGGTATCTGATTTCAACTGTTGGGGTTTAGGCTTCGGGCTGTCGGTTTAGGGTTTAGGGTGGTTTTGTTCGCGAGGATCTTTGGATGCAATGGGACTTCCTCGACCTCGACGACCACGGTGCCTTCTCCGACCTCGACAACCACGGTGCCTTCTCCGTATTATCGGCCGTACTACCGCACACGTTGCCCTCCCTTATGTCGTCGACACTATCGTCGACCTACCTGGTTTTGGTGGAGCCGATGCAAGCGCCTATGTGGCCACTAGTGGTTCGTCATTTTGGGCAGATCCCAACGGACTCTGAGGCCTTGCTCGTTGAACGTTACAGGGTTTATGGGAAGGTCAAGTTCAGGGCTTCGGGTGTAGAGAGTTTGAGTTCAGGGGGTTTAGGGTTTAGGG